GATGCTCCACTCAGGATGTTAACCAACACATTTAAGCATATAAATTGGACTAGACACAACAGGAGGCACCTCAGGGAATTTGTAGGACTGTCTGAAGTTCCTGCCCAGAGGGGATCAGTAAGGATGAGTCAAATGCTTAATTATGAAGTTCAGTCAATCACCTACTTTCAAGTTAGTCCATTGTGTCAAGCCAGCCCATGTTCTCACCGGTACAGGTGACTGGCTGGGGAGCTCCTGGACCACCCAGGGAGTTAAGGAATTAAATGCACTGCATATGCCTACAGGCACAGCCCATACCCAGCTGCAATGCAATTATAACTAGAGAACAAACTTGATTTTCATATCACACAAGAAAATCATTCACTTTGTTTCTTGCCACAGGTGAGCATCTTATACTGATAACTAGCTGAGCTGTGATTATTCAAATACACGTTCCCAGTGTGCACCGCTCTAGGGTGACACAAATAAGCCTCATCGTCTTTCATTAAAATGAGAAGTAATGTATTTCACCTTACAAAAGAGGTGATATTTGTACACACAAGTGGAAAATCACAACTTTTACCGTAGCTAATGTGTGGTAAATCCTAGTGCAGCTACACTGGTGTGTGGTAAATTACAGTGTGGCTGTCAGATGGTTGTGTGTTTGTGCCCTGGAGTTTAGAGCCTGCAGCAGAATAAGCCAGAATAAGAAAAGCTGTTCCAGTAATTTGGGAGGCATCTGCAAGTCCTTCATGGCTCAGGCTGCTGAGATGTATTTAGCAATTCAGTGTAGAAAAAAAAAAACAAAACAAACAACCAAACAAAAAAAAACCCCACACAGAAAAACATGCTCTCTGTATAAACCATGGGCTGTTGGGCTGTCCTTGAAGGGCCACATTGCTGCAGGCTGTGCTGTGATAGTGACTTAAGGCTTGTGAAGTCTAGTGTCATGTTTCTGCCTGTGAAAAGGGCAAAGTAAGGATTGTGGTAATGGGAGGAGATTGAAAGTGGCTTTTTTCTAGTGGAGATTGTGAACGTAGTTCTCGCTGGTGGTGTTGCCTGGTTCTTCACCTTCAAACCTTCTCTTAAGAACTTGCCACGTAGTGGCCAGATGGCTCACAGAAGACATTGTCACAATCTCCTGGGATAGGGTCTGGCCTCTGATAGGTACTTGGTGAGATACAACACAACTGATAGGAACACAAAGAACGTGGAGGTGGGGAAAGACAAGAGCATCACTGCTCTGACAGAGCTGAAGCCACGCAAAAAGTATTCCACCAGTCTCTGGGCAGAGAGGGGAGCCCAGCAGATGTCAAAGCTGTGACAGGTAGGAAGTTTGCTTCAGTGTGAAATAATCTAGTTCCAGGAGAGCTGCATTTCAGACAGAGATTCTGAGCAGGTGATTTGGTTTTTGGGTTAATTCTGAGAGTAATCCAGACAAGAGGTTTTGATCTTCAGAAAGCAAGAGCTGTAACACCATATTCTGCATGGGCTTTCCTCTCTGCTCATGCAGGGTTGTTTTGTTGCCAACAAAAAGCCCTGCTGCTGCAGCTGTGAGGAGGAGACCTAGACCCCAGCTGAAATACCTCAGAATTGGGCACCTCCCAGCTTTGTAGTTCAGGCCCATCCTTGATAAGAAATAAAGGATGAGAAGTGGAAGAAATTGGCAGGGCCCTTGAGAGGAAGGAGTAAGTGTAGCCTCACCAGGACAACCTGTGTTCTTCACTCCTTACTGTTCCTGCAGAAATCGGCAGCCCAGCGCTGGCAGGGCCAGGCATCCCTCTGCCCCAAGGCTCAGCCACCTCGGCACTGACGTACAAGTGTGTATACCAATGCGTCAAGAATGGTAGGACTTGCAAGCGGTTAGCCCCCGTGTTTTATCTACCTTGTGCTGTATCCAACCGTACAAAATTGTCTGGGGCCACAAATGGTGATGTCCAGTGGGACTCACTTGTCATGATCAAAACACAGTTTATAGCTGAAGATAAAACTTCTATTAGATTCACCAGTTTGAGCTGAAGAAAAGAAACAAGCAAGCTTTTGGACACACAAGCACTTTTTAGGTCTTTAGGCATAGAATAATTTCCCAAAGCTCTCCTGTTTTTCCAAATATATTTGATAGTCTAATAAAACATACTACCTCTGCTGATAAAATGTATGTTGTCTGTCTTTAGACCATTGTGATTACCACAGCGCTATACTAAACTTCTAATAATTATGACTTTTGCTTACAGAGATCGACAGCCCAGCTGAGCTGTTGACTGACCAAGTGACAGAGGATACAATTACTGTTTCCTGGAACACAGTCCAGGCTTCAATAGACAGATACAGAGTGAGCTACACCTCAGCTAACGGGGACACAGAGGAGAGGGAGGTGGAGAAAGACAAGAATGTCACTACCTTGGCAGGACTGAAGCCAGGCATGGAGTATGTCGTTTACATTTGGGCAGAAAAGGGAGAGCAACAGAGCAAGAGGGCCAGCACTGAGGCTGTGACAGGTAAGAGGGCAACAGATTTTGTTAAGGGTATAAGTTACAGCTCAGCTTTGTCTTAACACTGAGTAAGTCCATCCCGAGACAGTTTTACAGTAGAGGGAGGCTTAACAGATTGAGTCTTCAGGTTAGAGCATCTTGCTGTGAAACCTATTCAACATCATCACAGAGAGGTTCTAATTACCTGTATGTGCTACAAATGGGCTGTGTTGTGATTACTAATAGGGATTAGGGAAAATGGAGCCTTTGCAGCAGTGTCTCATATATTTGTATAGTCCTGTTTGATTTTAATTGGTTAATTTGTTTATCCTTGAAGATGAAGAAATTGAAGTGCAGAGAGATTAACAGCATGCAGGACGCTTTTTCTTGCAGTAGGATGATTAATCCTTGTTCCTTAGTTGTTCTTACCAGGACTTTCTTTCCCCTGTGCGGCCAGTCCTGGTTAAGAAGGTGTAGTCATCTGCCCAGTCTGAGGGTTACTGGTTTATAACAACATTGTAAAGGTGAATGTCTGAATTGATTGCAAGCTGTTGCAAGTGTTCACAAGACCCATACTCTAGGTCAGGGACTTGCTGAAGGAAGATGAGTAAATGCGTACCTGGGCCATCCTGGTCTTTTAACAAAAGACCTTTGGCTGTTCTTTCACTTTCTGGACAGATGACATCTGTGTGAGCTTCAGAGGCTTGTGACCGTGAGAAAACAAGAAAGTAACAATACCTTGCTTTGCAAGGGCACTTTTCTGTCCAGGTCAGGACTGTCTGTGTTGCTTCCTAGGAAAGCATCTCTAAGGATTAAAGACAGACCCCAGACCTTGATGCCTCCCAGCTTTGTAGGTCCAATCAGTGCGTGATTGGAAATAGGACTTGAAAAAGGAAGAAACAGGCAAGGCCCTTGAGGGGAAGGAGTGTCACAGTAGAACCTGGCTGTTGACAGCCTGCGTTCTTCACCTTTAACTGTCTCTGCAGAAATCGACAGCCCAGCTCACCTAGTGACTGACCAAGTGACAGAGAACACAGCCACCATCTCCTGGGACAAGGTCCAGGCTCTCATAGATAGGTATGTGGTGAACTACACCTCTGTTGATGGTGACACAGAGGAGATGGAAGTGGGGAAGAATGAGACTACCACGACTCTGATGGGACTGAAACCTGGCGTTGAGTATGTCATCTACCTCTGGGCAGAGAAGGGAGCCTGGCAGAGCAAGAGCACCAGCACTGAGGCGGTGACAGGTATTCCAGGAGAATCTTTGTTCTTCTACATGACACTATGTTGTGGAGGTGATCTCAGTTTCTGTCCTGTTTTCTTATGGCCTGTTGCAGAGCATATACTAGGCAGCATTTTGTCTTGCAGTCACCTGTGATGTGAGAACATCCATGCCAGAAGCACCTTCAAGCTTCTGTTAGAGATGGTGCTTCCTGCCAAGTCTAGAGAACTTTTAGGAGCTAACGACTGCTCTGTTTGTTCGGAAACTATCAGTCTGATGTGAGCTTCACAGCACTTTGCTAAAGCATTGTGTTCCTCACTTACTAGCTTTGTCTGCTGTTTTTGGTCTTCAGGTATGCTAAGCTCTGCAGGTGTGGCTGAGCTCTGCCCCACAGCATACACTACTGCTGTTGAACTCTGTTTAAACTTAGGATGGTTCAACTACTGCCACTGATAAGAATGGTGTTTATCAATGAATCAAGACTTGGAAGGAAACATCCCTATTTTAGTCACCTTCTTTGACAACACAAAAAGATAGCAAATAATTTGAGCCCAGAAAAAAAGTCTCTTAACTGTCAGTAATTCACTTTGCATAGTCAAGGATTTTGCTTACAGAAGTTGGCTGCTTAGCTAGGCTGAACACTGATTGGCAGAGGACACTGCTAATGTTTCCTGGGAATGAGGAGAGGTGGGGTAGGACACGGGTCTCACTATTGTGATTAGTTTGAAGGTCGATGTGGTGTACATCACCTGTGTGTGGGCAGGGAAAGGAAGCAAGCAGAGCAAGAGGGCAGGCACAAACACTCTCGTGGGTGACCTGTGGAAATTCTGGTCTGTGATTTTGCAGCTATGGGAGGAGGGTTGTAGCTTCATGTGGTAAATTAGCTATGATTATGTTGTCCTTTGGCCACCTCTTTTCCCAAGGCCTTCTTTCCTCAGTCATACTGTAGAGAAATGTTACACCTTGCTCGCACCTCAGAGCTCAAAAAGAGATATTTGCTGGTGGGGGAGTGGAGTGGTGGTGCTGCCTCAGTCTCGCACATCTTTTTCTTTGTCTCAATGTACCCAGTGTTGGCCAGGACTCCAGGGCCATGAAGTAGCTGGTCTAATGGATCTCTCTTGAGGCTGTCAGACCTAAATTCTTATGAACCTTAAATTTCAGTTGGAACTTCTTCTGCACAGTCATTCTTCCCTGTATCTCTACTTGATATTTTACTCCTGAGGCCTCTGCCTGAAGATGGCTGTGTCTCAGTGCCTTCCTTTGTCTTACTCCAGTTTTCCGTTGTCCATTGCAAGCATCGTGATTAGCCACCGTGACCCAGTGAAGCTACAGATGAGTTAGTCCATGTCATCCTTTGCTTCCTGAGGGTAGCATCATGGGACTTTAGAAAGCAGAAGTTTTAAGCGGAACATGCATGTATTTTAGTTACCCAGACTTTCTACTCCGCACTTTATTTCTCAGAAATGGACAGCCCAAAGAATCTGGTAACTGACCAAGTGACAGAGAACTCAGCCACCATCTCCTGGGACAGCGTCCAGGCTCCTATAGACAGGTATATGGTCAGCTACGCTTCTGCTGATGGGGACACCAAGGAAATAGAAGTGGGGAAGAACAGGAGCATTACCACCCTGACAGGACTGAAACCAGGCACGAAGTACACCATCCATCTCTGGGCAGAGCTGGGAAGCAAGCAGAGCAAGCGGGCAAGCACTGACATGCTGACAGGTAACTGTGGGCAGAAGGGAAAGGAAACGGGCTAGAAGGACCCTACTTTCTTGTTGTTTTATGTTTTGTGATCTCTCTTTGCATTACTGGGTAATGAAGATGCACAGTAGTAAACCCATTCTGGAGATAAGTGCATGAGTACAGACTACTATAACAGAGACTGCTGCTATAGATGATTATAGAAGAGGCAGATGTTGTAATATGAGAGTGATAACAGCTGATGATACCTGGCTTATTTCACTAGTCCTTCATCAAAAGCATGTGGTGCTTCAAGTGTTGCTGTCAAGCCTAACAATAATGGAGGTTTAACAACCAAAGTTCAACCATTTTAGCATCAGGGACAGTTAAAAATCATGGCCTGCCCTTTGACTCATGACCTTAGACTGGTCCTAGGAGACTGCCAAGCAGGCTTAAATCTGTCCTGTTCAGTCAGTTGTAAGGATTACGGTGTACTGGGAGCATTTCAGGGTCACTCCGTATCCACTGGCCTTGCTAATATACTTTTTCTTAGTTTATGAATCACGCTGGTATGAGAGAGAACAGTTGAAGTATGGATTTAGGGCAAGATGCCAAGCAGTTCCCTGGTGCTTACAGAGGTCGAGGGCAGCTGATGGGGACAAATGGAGATCTCTTGAGGCCAAAAGACTGAACCTATCTGAAACTAGAAACGCAAGGAGAGTTTCAGCAAATGGAAAAATTTTTTTTTTTCTTGAACTGGAATGAAATGGAGACACCTGGAAATTTCACATGAAATGAAACTGCTGGGAGAGGAAACACTTTAGTATTAGTAGGGATATTTTTGAAAAGGCTCAAAAGGCACAAAATACCTATGGTTTGGGGTTTTTTTGGTGTGTGTTACATTTCCAAAAGTAATGACACCTCTGCTAAAATAATACAACTTCGGGGCGGGGGGGGTGGGGTGGAGAGCCTCCACAACATTTTCTTATTCAGGATATGGCAGGTTATTCCCTAGCATTAAAACCGGCTGTGGCAGGGAGCTGTTCTGCGGTGGTCTCCTGCACCCGTGGAAGCTGATGACTGCGAGAAACTGTAGGACTCTAAGGCTGCCCTTCCCATCCCTTGCTTCTCGTGATGGATTTAGTACCTTTTAGCTCCCTCTTCTGTCCAGCGGGAGGTATACATGTAATGAGCTACTCGGAAGATTTCTGTGTCCTTTTATTTAAAGTAGTTGTTTAGCGGTCACCAAAATGAAGCACGAGTTCGTTAGATAATGAACGAATGCTTAATTCAGGAGCCTAGTGAAAGGTGGTCTTCAGTTATAATGAATAGCTGGTGTTTTAAACAACATGCTGTGTGAACGTTGTTGTTCCTGTCCCTGTTGTTCTCCTTATATTTGGTGCTTTGATTTCTTCTTCTCTGCTTCTGTATCTGTTTTAAGCAGTAACCTTACACACAAGGAGTGCAGTGTTTCCTGGGAGAAGCCACACTGCTCCACCCTTCCCATTTATCTCAGACAGAGGTAGCTTGGCCTTGTCTTCCTCCGTGGCCTTTTCAGAACTCTAATTTTTCACTGATGCATTATAATCATTGTTACGATTAGCCTCATGGCACATGTTAAGGTTTAGGAAGTGTTGCTGCCTTGTTTATATGGAGAACAACTGAATCAACGGACAAGTTAAATGACATGCCTGTAGTCCCCCAGGGAGGTCTCCGGAAGAGCAGGGAATTGAGACAAATTATTCAGTTATAGTTTGCTCTAAACTCAAGTGTACTTCAGGGTTGGAGCACTCTTCCCTGAAGGCCAGCACTGCCCACCAAGAACCTTCTCTCCAAAACTCGGAAAGCTGGATGAACCTTATTCCTTAAATTGTTTTCCTTAAGATGTTCCCAAAACACCAGAATATAGCAAGCACAGGATGAAAATTAGGGAGAGACTTCTTCCAGTGTTGTTACTTCCAACTGAGCTTTAGAAATTGCTTTTATCCTGAGGGAAGCACTGCAGCCCTGTTGTGGGTACCTCATAAGAGAGATGCTTTTTGACAACTGCTGTGAACTGGCATTGCTTAATAATTCTGTTCTTCTCCTCATGCTGAACTTGGACAGTCTGCACAAGAAAAGTCTGGCTTTGGTGTCAGTGAAGGAGCTGGTGTCCCATATACAGCACAGACTAAACTGTAAAGCTGTGGGTTTCTTTGTGTGCCTGCGTTTACTAAAGAAGGCTGAAGCATGACAACAGTAAAACCAGTGAAGTCATTCTTCATCTGCAGTAGGGAAACAAGGGGTAGGGGCTCACAGCAGGCCACACTAGGGCCATGCTCCAGGCTTGGGGCATGGACACCAAACCAGACCTATCTGTGAATACTCCTCAGACATGAACCTGCTGGAGGCTTCTCAGGCAGATGTGTCAGGTGCTCCTGGGCCCTGTATAGTTGAGCCAATACAGGGCTTACAAAACATCCCAAACCAGATCTGTAGCAGACTGTGCTGTGCTTGGTCTAGGCTTCTGCCACTTCTTGCTAGCTGTGAAGGTCACTGGGTGAGTTCAGTGGTTCCCAGTTAACAGGATCAGGCATTGAAAGCTCAGCCTAAGCCCTGCACTGCTGTTGCCACCTTTCGTTTATGCCAATGGGACTTGACTTTTCTTTTTCAAGAGATTGATCCTCCCAAGAACCTCCATGTATCAGATGTGACTCATTCTACTGGCGTGGTTACCTGGACTCCTCCTAAGGCACAGATTGATGGCTACGCTCTGAGCTACCAGGGTCGAGATGGTATGAGCAAGGTACAGTGAATTTCTCAGCCCTGCAGACCCCACTGAAATCACCCCTAGAATTATGGGCCCTGCAGATTGGGTCTTGTGGTTGTATGGTAGTTTGTGGTTTAACGCTAGCCGGCAGCTAAGCCCTACGCAGCTGTTCGCTCACTCTCCCATGTGGGACGGGGGAGAGAATCGGAAGGGTAAAAGTAAGAAAACTCGTGCATTGAGATAAAGACAGTTTAATAGGGAAAGCAAAGGCCACACACGCAAAGCAAAGCAAGGAATTAATTCACTGCTTCCTATCGGCAGGCAGGGGTTCAGCCATCTCTAGGATAGCAGGGCTCCATCACGCATAACGGTGACTTGGGAAGACAAATGCCGTCACTCCGAAGGTCCCCCCTTTTCTCTTCCTTCCCCCAGCTTTATATGCTGAGCATGTTGTCGTATGGTATGGAATTGCCCTCTGGTCACTTGCGGTCAGCTGTCCCGGCTGTGTCCCCTCCCAGCTTCTTGTGCACCCCCAGCCTGCTCGCTGGTGGGATGGGGTGAGAAGCAGAAAAGGCCTTGACTCTGTATAAGCACTGCTCAGTGATACCAAAAACATCCCTGCATTATGAACACTGTTTTCAGCACAAATCCAAAACACAACCCCATACTAACTCTTATGAAGAAAAGTATCTCTGCCCCAGCCAAAACCAGAAAAACAGTTTTGAGGGGGAATCTATGCTATCCATGGCCAGGGAGAGAGAGCTTAAGGAAGAAGATGTGCTACTGTCATGAGTATAAGCTGCGGGGGGGGCTTTGCGACAGGGGAACACCTCTTCCCAACAGTCCTCCAGGTGCAGAAAACATGTTTGCTTCTTCACTCCTCTTTTCTAACTTGGTATTACCTGGAAGGGCAGCAGTCACCAGGGATAGAGTGTTCTAACTGTCCTAACTGTTTCTTGAGACCTTGCCCCATATCTTCCTTCTGAGGAGATGGACTCCATATCTCAAGGATATACAGTGAATGTGCCTGTCTGAACTCTACAAGAAAAGTCCGTAAATGCATATCAAGTATGAGGCACTGTGGTCCAGCAAAGCTAAATGCGCTTCAGAGTTGCGTTAACCTTTGATCTGTTTTATTTGGCAGGAAGTACAGCTGGGTCCTAGCGAACAACGGTTTGTGCTGGAAGGGCTGGAACAAGGAGTGAGGTATGCCATCTTTGTAATGGCCTATAAGGAAGATCGCCAGAGCAGACAGACAGACAGTACCTTCTCAACAGGTAGGATTTGGCCTTGGTTGTTGCACTTTTCCCTGTGCTCTGCAGCTGTTGTGCCGCTGTTGGTAGAGGTCAGAGATAGAGTTCGTGTTCTGCAGATGCACTGGGAAATTATGTGATCGTAAGCAAACCATCTAGTGAGTCAATGATGTGTCTCCTGGCTGGGAGTCCATTCTAGGCCACACCATCTGGAGGCTTGGAAACACAACGGGATAGTGTGAGTGGAGATTGCCCACACTAGTCAGTGCTGCTGGCAAACCTTGCTTAGCCAAGCGTGGGACAAAGCCTTCTGGTGAGCTGCCAGTGGGCAGGAGAGATGATGATACACTAGAGATCTTTCTGCACCATCCTAGTAATGGTAGGACATAGCTGTGTAAGTACTGTCGTGGCATTGGGTAGCTGCCCAGGTTGTTTTCAGAGGTCGGGAAATGCACACCAGAATGGCAGCAAATCAAACAAAATCTCATGCCAGCTTGCTGTGGAAGCCTTTTGTACTGTGCCAGTGCCCATAGGGGTTGCCAATTGTGGACAAATTGTGAAATGCAGAGAAATTAAAGTTCCTGTTTACTGGCACTCCCACCTTCACAAACAAGGGCTGCTCTTACTGCAGTCCAAGACTGCATCCCTTGCAGCTTCTGGGGCTGACCTCTCACACTCTCACATCCATGTGCCAGCTCCAAGGCAGTGGGGAAGGCTGCCAGCAGCAACCTGCTGATGCAACTGGTGGGCACTGTGTGAGTGCATGGAGTGGGGGCTGCTGCTTTCTTTACTTCTCTTCCAGTACTGTTGTCCTTAGGAGATTCCTAAGGGTGTGGAATGCGTCCTCCGGCTCTACGGCTTACTTTGCTGATGTGACATTTTGCCCCCTCTGTTCTCACAGTTAGCTTCCTCTACCCGTATCCCGCGGACTGCAGCCAGACGCAGCAGAATGGAAATGCCTCCAGCGGCATGTACACCATTTACCTGAACGGGGATGGCAGCAGGCCGATGCGGGTGTACTGTGACATGACCACTGATGGAGGCGGGTGGATAGTGAGTGATTCTTTGCTGCTCTTTGGAGTTTTTTTTTTTAATGAACGTAATCAAATGGGCCTGGTACTGGTGTTAGCCGAGGCTCCTCATGCTCTACTACATTGCTGCTTCAGCTCCTGCCTTGATGGAGTAGGAAGGGTGGTGGATGCTGATGTACCCCCTCAGACTGTCAGTAGGGATGCTGTGTGAGGCTGAATGGCTCAAAGGCTTGACAGTGGAATACTGGGTTTTTTGTTGTCTCATCGTGAATGCCACACAGGCTTATATTATTGCTGATTGAGGGCAATGACTGAGTTATGACAGCTTAATGTGTCACTTCTTGCCAGTTGGGTCAGAGCAGTTGTCTGTGAGGGTGCATTCAGCCCTGTCATAAGATAAGGTAGTACAGCTTAACTCATTATGAAAGGCAGTTAAGCTAACTGAACTATATTATCTCATCTTGACTGCAGTATAAGGATACATGTATGGACAGTTAATGCAGTTCAGCTGGTGCCTGTTAGTATTTTAAATGCCAGTACTGTGAGCATGCACCTGGATCCTGACCACACAGTAGCTGTTGAGTGGCTCAAGGGAATCTGGAGGTAGAAGCACAGATGCTTTGAGGTGGCAAGTGTGTATGAGCATGAAGGAGTGAATATGAGGTTCTCTGATAGCTGTCTCCCTAAACCAAAGAAAAATATCTTTATTCCCTTTTTCACCTTCCATTTTCAGTGATAAGCGATTTTCTCCACTGAAACAAATTGTTGTGTGTTACTGCCCAAGTCGCTCTGGTTTTGGTGAAGTTTAGAAACCCAAATGTCTTGTGGATCTTGTCTCTAAGCCTATTTTGTCTAAGTGTTTAGATCATGCTCAGATTTGTGCTGTCCATAGGCATTTGTGGATAGTAAACGCTAAAATTTGCACAACTAAGTACTCAACCCATTGCTTATGTGCAGTCAGAAAAAGGAAATGGATTCCTGTGTGTACCCTGCTCAGGTGCAGTGTACCATCAGCTAGAATTGTCTGTTTCTGAGTGCTTCACCTTTTTGTCTGCGCTTGAATCAGGATGAGCATTTCTCATCCCTGTCCTCCTTGACTTTCCTCAACCTGTCATGAACTCTCACTCAACAATCCTTGCTTTGCAGGTGTTTCAGAGGCGGAGCACTGGCGAGGTGGATTTCTACAAACGCTGGAAAAATTATGTGGAAGGCTTTGGAGATCCCACTGGGGAATTTTGGCTTGGTACAGTACAAGGGTGTGACCAGCAAAGAGCTGAAGATTAGCTTTGTAGAAGTACCTAAATGATGAAATATCCAACACTCTGAACCTGCAGTCTTGAACTGTCAGCTTTTGTGTCTTCCCTAGATGCCAGTGAAGCACCGAGGGATCGCTAAAGGCTCACTAAGTACTTCCACTGGCATCTTTAGGCTTTGGAGCAGTCTCAGAGAAAGCCAAACTCTAGAAAGGTTTATTTCAGGCTTGTGTGTTCCTATGAGAGGGGAAATAAAGAAATTATATTTGTGAAAATGCAAAGACCGGGATATTACACAAAATTGGTGTACTTTGTCTTGTTCTGTTAGTGAACTCTTTGTGGATCAGAGAATCCAGCACTGAATAGGTCAAAATCTTGGGAGCAAGAGTCTTTAAATGTTCTGGGAAAAATAATGTTGTGCTACAGCCAGTCTTGTGCTGGTTTAGGCTGTTTGTTTTTTCTGATACTCTTGCCAGAAATGAGATAAGACAGCATAAACTTGGCAAAATGTCATGACAGCATCAAGCAGGGAAGGAGGGAAGCAGGAAATAGCTGATTTAACCAAAATAGCCACAGGGTGAGAGTCTAGGATGGCAAAGGTGAACAGGCTTTTCCCTTTTAAGAATAATTCTTAATTCTTTTTTTTTTTTCTTCTTTCTTCTAGGTCTTGACAAGCTGCACAATCTCACAAGCAGCAGCGCCATCCGCTATGAGCTCCGGGTGGATTTGTGGACAGACAGCGAATCTGTCTATGCTGTCTATGACTTCTTCCAGGTTGCCTCGAGCAGGGACAGATACAGGCTGTCGGTGGGGAATTACACAGGCAATGCTGGTGAGGGGTGCCATGTACTTGTGGTGTCTCTGCTTTGTGCAGGGAAGCAAATGCTGGGACTTGTGTATGTATTTTGCCAGTAGCATGGGAGCTCATTAGGTCAGGTTAGATCAGATGTGGTCCTCTTTGAGGAGAGAAGTCTGTACTTCCTGGGAAGACCGAGGAGAGTGTGTCCACAGGCAGAGTTGCTTTTCAACAGGGTAGAGAGGGCTCTGTAACCCAATGAAACAGCAGCTGAAAAGGCAGACTGGGAAGCATTTCCATGAGGTAACCTGTGCTGATGGAGGAGCAACTTCTGGGGCTCCCCAGCCAAGAAGTGCAAAGTAAGTGGCTTTTTTTCAGGATGGGAGTTTGTCAACAGCAGTACACATCCCCGTGCTGGCTTCTGCCACTGGTAAATCCTTACCATTGCCACTGTGTCCATAGTCTTCCACTTATCCTTTAATCCTCTTTGCTATAAGGTTTAGATCATCATCTGGGGGGAGCCAGCCCTTGGACATGCCTTCTAACAGCAGCCCTTTAGAAATTATAGTCCAGACCCATCCCATGCTCTTGCTTTTCCCTTGACAGGCCTGCTTTGTTCTGCCTGAAGGGTGTATAAGCCCTCAGGCTGAGCAACTGTAGTCTCTTACTCCTATTCATGTCTTTCATCCCTTCCCTTAGGGGATGCAATGACCTACCACAATGGCTGGAAGTTCACAACGTGGGACAGAGACAATGATGTGGCTCTCAGCAACTGTGCTCTGACACACCATGGTGCGTGGTGGTACAAGAACTGCCACTTGGCCAACCTCAATGGGAAATATGGGGAGAGCAAGCACAGCGAGGTGAGTGGCAGAGCTCTGTCTGGTGGTCAGCTCTTCTCCTTAGCCTTGAGAAAACACCTGGAGGGGATGTCTGTCCTTGGAGCAGGAGAGATTGCCCAGGCTAACACAACTCATTGCATTTGAAAGGCAAATGATCCATAAGGAAACTTAGAGCTCTTACTCTGTCCTCCCTGGATCCAAAGGACTTAAGAATCAGGGGGCCATGAGCTTGTGGGCAGAGATACTTGAGGTGGAGCTGTCTTGATTTCTGAGGGGAACACATAACAGAACACTCACTAGGAGCCACACTAGGGTGCTGGCTCACTGTCTCATGTAGCCTATACCTTGGCTTTCAGTGCATGCTTTGGTGTGCTTCTTATTGTACAGGCTTATTTTGGGCTTGAAGATGGCTCAGTCCTCTTGTGTTCCAAACTGGATAGTGATTTGATTTATATTAGGAGTCTGGAAGACTGATTATAATTACAGTTAAAATCTGGTGAACAATAGCGTCTCTGTTTATTGGAGGGTTAAGTGGTATTAGAAGGGGGCAGTGGTAGACTCCTAACATTTGGTCTGGGTGCTTTAATAAAAGAAATTCCTTGGTCTTTTCACAGGGGGTGAACTGGGAGCCATGGAAAGGCCATGAATTCTCCATCCCTTTTACTGAGATGAAGATCCGTCCTCAGTCTTCCAGTAATGAGCCAATCCTGGGGAGGAAGAAGAGGGCTCTATCAGGGAAAAGGAAGACGGTCAGGGCTTAAATGGAACTCTGTGCAGGATAGTACCCAAAGATAACGATTCAGTATTCTTAATAAAGTTAGATTCAGGCAGCTTTCTCCAATACATTGGAGGCAATTGCGACCAACGTGCTCCCAGAGACCTCTGGATCTGCAGCCCAGCCTGCTTCCAGCCTTTGGTAATCTATCAGAGACTGGGAGGGAGCTTGTGGGGAGCATCCCACTTGCAGCTCCCTTGGTTGGCTAAACATGACAAGGACCTGCTTGATCCAATGTATGCAACTTCTATGAACTTTACATAGAGCAAGCTTTAACACATGATGCTGTTTCTCAAAACCCAGGCTGCTAACTCTTCTCAATTCTGTCCTTCTCTGGTGCCATTCATTTCAGACTTGAAAAAATTAAATTTGACCCTGCTAAGAAATAGTAGCTCTCTAATTTACATCAGAAGGAGCTTTCCTGAGACAATCCCTTCTCCCTGTCCTGGTCTGTGGTCCTCTTTTTCTTTCCCCTCATCATTTGAGGCACATTCCCTAGTCTTCCCCCAGTCAAAGGGCTGGGGTTTGGGAAATGTTGTCAGGCTGTTGGCAAGGCTCGATAACCCAGGTGAGGTCTGTAGTCTGGGTTCCTCAGCCTCCAGTACTGCACTTCCCCAGGTGATTTGCTCTTTATTTTGCTTGTCTCTTCCTGTCTCCTAGCCCAAAGAAAAGCCTGAGGAAACATGCAGTGAATTAATGTTTGCACTCCTGGGTGAGGCCCAGAACAGGATGAGTGTATGAGCTATGCTCCTCCAAGCTCTGCTCACCATCCTCAACGTGCCTCTGCCTACTGCTACCCTAAGAGGCCGCATACAGACCAGGAACAAAATTCTCTATGCAAGTGTCCTATCTGCCACCTTCTGCTTTTTCATTAGCAGTGCGGTAGCTAGTGATGCTGAAATGATAACACTTGTCATCTGCCTCTAAAATGAACATCTCTGAGTTAAGCCGATCCTGCACGCTCTCCGTCAGGCTTTTCTTTCAGGCTGTCTGCAGATTCAGGTGGGCCTCAGTGTGTGGTTTCACATTTGTCTGCTTTTTTTCCTCACAACAATAAGGTGAGTTTTATTTTCTTTCCCTGAGCAGATATTAAAATTCTGGACCACCAGCTACAGCCAGAGAAGAAGTATGAGCTCACCAAATGATGCTTGCTCAAAGGCTTCCTTGTCTGAGCAGATTGGAACATGATTGTCCTATGTTTTAATGGCCTTTTCTTTCGAAGTGCTAAGCTGAGTAATACATTTTAAAGAATCCTCCCCAGACTTTGGGGAAGCAATAAAATCGCAAATAAAGGTGGTCTTAAAATCTTTCTGTCATCTTTGCTTTGGGTGGCAGAATTATATTTCTTCCCATTTAAACTAAGCCTTCTTTACAGAGATGGAGCAATGCCATTAGCAGTGCCAGAGCAATGTGGAGACTCTGAAAAGTAGGTCTTTGAAGTCTGCTCCAAAATGGGGATGGGGACTATGTGATCTCTTCCTGACTTAGTACTGCAAAGCAATTAACTGATGCGTGGCTGCTAGGACCTGGCGGAGGAGCGCTAGCTAGAGCTAGCACACACTGCAAGGTGAGTACTAAATTCTTCATAGTACTTTCAGGGCCGTGCCTCTTGCGTACGGGGGCAGGCAGAGACTCATCTGAGCTGTATTAGGATATCCAAGCCCCGGTTTGGGGGGAAGGAGGAGACTAATGGAAGGAGGAGAGGAAAGGAAAATTGCACTTGAAGTGTTTTGCAGGCTCTGTGCTAAGAGTATGAGAAGAGGACACAGGAAAATGATGAGGGTTCTTTACTGTGAAGTGAATTCTCCCCGTTGCCTGCTTGTCTGTAGGTGAGGACAGGTTTCACTATGTTGTTCAGTTAAAGGGCACAGTGTAGACAGGAGGAAGGTGACTGAGGGGGACCGGAGGACCAGCCTCACAGACAGCCACTCTAAAAGTAAGCATATGCTCTAAAATCCAGCAGGCATGATTGTGCCTAGCAGCTCTTCCCTGTGCAGAAGCAAAACATGATCCTTTTCTAAAGCTGAATCTTCCCCTACAGCAGGGAATATTCTCTCAAGCGGTATGAGCTTTGTATTTCAGAGATGAAGGCAAATGAGACACCTTATTTGCAGTTTCCGAGGAAGGTTTTACTTGTCCCTCCTAATTATGGCCCCTCTTTCACCAGGAAGGGCAGTCAAAGTGGTGGCTGTTGGAAAGCCATTGTGGGAAGTCAGTGTTGCCCAGCAGCCACGGGATGGCATCATCTCTTCATGCTAATGCAGGAGGAATCCAGCCTCTGTGGAAAGACCTTTTTGGGGTTAACCAGTCCCTTTAGAAGCTGGGACTGGTCAGATAATGCAGTTTGTTTGCCCTCGGGAACTGGCTGTTCTGGTTTCAAGGCTCAGGCTGGTTGGGGTAGTTCCATAAAAATTTCACATCCTCTTATCACCCTTGTTTTGCTGCTCTACCCAGCCCTGTAAACGGTGATGCCGTAGGGCCAAAACAGATTCTTGAAACTTCTGCCTTGCCCTGAGATCACTTAAAATTTATCACCAATGAGGTTTGCAACATGCCCAGGGGCAGAATTTGAATCCCCTCTGAAAGGATCCTCTCTGCTTTGGCATCGCTGTGGTGATGGTCCTGTCCCCTTGCTGGGACCTACCTGTTGTGCATCTGGGATGCAGCATGGCCAGTGCTGCTGTGGGGGACCCCAGCAAAATGCTGCTGGTGGATTCTTTACCCACCTCTCCACTATCCCAGCATTTACCCAAGAGGAGGAGGGAGAAAGCATGCCTCTTCCCCAAGATCACAGAATCATCAAGGTTGGAAAAGACCTTTAAGACCATCAAGTCCAACCATCAACCCAACACCACCCTGCCCACTAAACCATGTCCTGAAGTGCCATGTCCACACGTTTTTTGAACACCTCCAGTGATGGTGACTCCACCACCTCCCTGATGTTGCACTCTGAATGGTGGAATTTGGAGAGAAGTGCACTGGGCACTTGCTTGGAAAGCAGCAGTGCTACTTCTGGTCACTGCTCTAGGCTTTGTTGGCTGAATGAATAGAGGACTAGTCAGTGAAGATCTTATTCTCCCCTCCTAGTGGGGTTTCAGGGGTCTGTGGGGGCAATTTTTGCATCCCCTCAATCCCTGGACTACTCCAGGACGCTCAACTTGCCCTCAGCCCCTGCCTGTTTCTACCCTGGCACCCAGGAGCCTCCCCTTCTCTCCGCGGGTCACGCTACCCAAAAACGCCTGGCCCTGAATACAGTGTGCAGGGCTACCATCTGGAGAGGAGCAAGGTGTGCCCTGCCCATTCCTTCCCCCAAAACGTGTATCTCTGCCATTCTAGCTGCTCGTTGCTGCAGTCCTGCACGCCTCTTCCCCCCAGTCTCCTCCAGGGCCTCCGCTCTGGGGGCAAGGTGCAGCTTTGCTGCATCGTCCAGGTGAGAGGCAGGTTTGCTTTTGTCCTCGCGAAGGGAGAGAGAACTTGGTGGTGCACGATTTGGAAAGGCTCTGCCCAGCAGAGGTGTGTGCCTGTGACGTGCCCAGATGGCTGTGAGGAGCTGCAGACACTCTGAAATACTTGCCTGATCAAAACCAACTGAGGTTGACTAGTCTCCACTGCTGACCCTCAGCCTCCCACGGTCCCGAAATGCTACTTTTCCTCTTCCCACTACTTTTTGCCCTTGGGGAGAGGCTCTTGACTCTGTTCAGTAACAAGGTGAGGCCATTAAACTTGATTAAGCTAAGCTGTTTCTTTAAGAAAACATCTCTCGGAGCTGCACAGCTGGCTGCAGGCAGAGACTGCACAGCCCCAGCCCGCTGAGCTCTCCTCGCGTCTTTTCTAGGGCCAGGACACAGATAGAAGAAAGATTTCCCCAGGAAAATAAACACATGACTATGGGCCGGAGACACAGCATTTGTTTGCAGTGTGAGAGTCATTTATTTTTGTTTTAAAAAAGAAACCTTGCAAAAAAAAGTTTTGGTTGTTTCCCCCCCCTCCCCGCTGTTGCACAGACTGTTTAGGAAAATAAAAGGTTGATACCGAAATGCAGTTGTGGGGAGGCAGTGCAGAGGTGGCTGGAGAGCGGAGTTTCTGTACCGTGCGTCTCCTGCGCGGGTGCTGCGGGGTTGTTGCTGACGGGTGACAGGTCCTGGTGCACCTCAGGCTGTCGCTGCTCTTTTGCTTTCGTCTCAAAAAGCGGCTGATTCGGTGGATGGTTTGGCTAAACGAGCGGTGCTCGAGCACATCAGCTCCCGTGCTTTATGGGGTGCAGAGGCTTGGACCATCTGCTGGTTGGATGGATCAGGGCAGGGCTGTATCCTGGTCCCTGCCTGCCCAGCCCAGGTGTGGGTTGAATGATGATTTTGGGGACCTCTTGAAATTCAGACCTGGCTGCTCTGAACTCCTAAAAGCCTGGGTCAGAGATGTTGTGCGTGACAAAACACAGACATTTTCTTGACAGCTCTCTGGTTCTGGAAGGAATCTGTTGCCCTCACCTGAAACGTTACTCGCTAGCCCTTCCGGAGAAGGACCTTCTTGCAGGGAGCCGTGCAAAGCCCAGCAGCTCCACACCAGGGAGGCTGTACTCTGCTGGAGCTGGCTGCCTCCGTGCCCCTGCTTGTTTGGGTAAGCCGCTGGCCTCCCATCATGTTTCCCTTTGCTCCGATTTTTTTCCGAGTCCTCCAGGCAGCACCACCCTTGCTCCGGGGCTGCTGGTGCCTCTGGAGCGCAGCAGAAGCACCTGCGTGGGCAGCTCTCCTGCCCACAGGAGGAGGCTGCTTTGCCCACCTGGTGAGCCTGGAGGCAGGAGGGCTGGGAAAAGTGCCTGGATGGGGGAAAGGAGGGAAGGAAGAAAGAATAATGCAAGTGCAGGGCTGGTTCTCCAGCATCTTGGCTGGACTGGGGGTTTGGGACAGAGACCAGAGCTGTTCCTGCCTGTTTCTAGGATTAGGTGTGGCAAATCCTAATTTTTTATAGCATTATATGTTGCTTCCT